CATCATCAGTGAACTAATTTCAGTAAGTTCTTAAGTGAAAGATGATGTAAAAAAAATTATTTCATAAACAAATTCTGTTTATAAATTGTCTTAAATTGATTCTGAAAAATTTATGTTATAGTATTTGCGTCATTTTCTCTTGTATTGTTCTTACTCAAAATTTGATGCATACATCATTAATAGAATTATGAGAATATAGTATTATATTAAGATTGTAATACAAGTTGAATATATTTTCAATACAAACTTTTATATTTGTTAGTTATGCCATATTGGTGTTTATTTGGTTATAAGCAACCTAAAAATATTGTTCTTCATTGAATAACTTTATTTTCATTGAGCTATCAAATTATACAAGCAAAGTGTCAAATAAAATTAAAGTTTAAGAGTTTTTATTATTAAATATTTCCAACTAAACTTTCAAATCTACATACTCAAATTATTTCCAGAAGTATTACAGGAAATGAATTAATGGTTGTAAACTTTGAATATTAATATTCTTATTGTGTGTCTCAGTATACATATCTATTGTCAAAAATGATTCCTAAATTGTCTTTGAATTAATAGAAGGCAAGAAATATTCTTCTTAGCTTTGAGCACTTTTTGTAAAATACTGTTGAGTATTTGATAGCAAATATGTTTAAATTAAATTTTTCTTTCTTTCTTAGAATTTAGCTTAATTATAAGATCTACTAGGTTAATTTTTTCTTCCTTTTATAAAATACTTCAAATACAGAAAATATGCCATCTTTATTTATCTAATGTATAATTTCTTATCATTATTTGTAGCCTACATTAACAGAAGAAGTAACACGATCCTCATCGATGTCCTCACCTACAGAACCTCAAACATTTTATTCACTACAAGAAACTGACATAGTTGAACAAGAAAGTCTTGAAAGGGAAAATCAAGAAAAAACTTTAACTTCTCAAATACCACCTGAACATTTCAATTATACAAGAAATCTTTTGAAAGAAGGTTTACCTCCTCGTCAAGATTCTGAATTAGATAATAATCTTGAAGAAGAACAAAATTGGGATGGTAAATTGGTTTTTAAAAGTATTTTTAAAATTGATGTATAAAAGAAATATATGATTTTAATTAATAGAACCAACTTTGGAAGCACCACCAGATGTTAGAGATCCATTAACAGAAATGATGGCTGAACATGGCATAAATGTTTCACAACAGCAGCAAGTTAAAGATCCTCCTCAAGTTATAATGGCAAATAATGAAGAAAGGACATGGGTAGATTTAAGAGCAAGGGCTTTATATGATTATCAAGCTGGTAAGATGAAATTTTTATATCATATATATTTTTGAAATTTGGGATGATTCAAACCCTTATTTTGTTCAAATTAAGTACTATAATTATCCAATTAGAAATCTAATTATAAAGAAACCATTAATAGTTTTCATCTCTGTCTATTTTAGGTAAAACCCATCCTTTTCATATATATTCCACAAAAAATTCTGTTCAGTCATTAATTCTTGACTTTCATTGTCATCTTGAGAAATCTTATATTATGTAAAATATAAAATTATGATAATACACTTTATGATGACAATAAATTTCCTATATTTCTTCTTATAATTTTTAAAATAGAGTAAATTATTTCATTTTGAATAACTTAGTAGTGGATCATAAAACTGTTTTCATCTAATAAATTCATTGTGAGAAATTAAGTTTTAGAGATTTGAATAAAGATTGGAAAATATAGTTTAATATTTGAACACATCATTTTCCAATTACTTTGTTTTACTTTTCAAAGATAATGTTTAGGTTGAAATAAGAAATAACTAACATGACTAAAGTATAAAAAGTTTTTTGATAAAAAAAATATATTTGGATATTCTCTATTACAATTCTAATAGCTTGGAACTATAGCAATTAATCAGGTAATTAGGATAGCAATAATCTTAAAATAAGAGAGATTTTCTGACTGATTTATTTTTTATACATATTCATATGTATAAAAAATAAATCATTCAGAAAATCACTTTAGGAAAAGAAGTAGATTTATTCTTCATTAAAATTACAAATATACAAATATATGTTCTGTACAAATATATTCATTCTTGATTAGTAGTGCAGGAAATCTTCATTAATTCAAACTTGGACAGTTCAAAATCCTGTTAGTTTGTACAGTACCTGTACTTTTGTTCCAGCTAGGGATAGAGATTTAAATGTTAAGGAATTTGATTAGTTCGAAATATGGATACTTCAAAATTTGAAATGAAAATTTTGTCCAAACTCTGCGATATGTGTATGTTAACTCATTCATTTGGATCAAAATTCCACCATACTATAAAAGAACAACTCTAACCTGGTCAATATGACTTTGCTTTTATAGTAACATGTTTTGAGTGTCACTGTATACACGGACTACTCTTTTTTCTCTTATCTCATAAAATATAACTAGGTTTCAGGATTGCAAAATGAACTACAAGTAGCATATTGAGATATTTGTAGAGCTCTAAGCTGCTATGTTTGGAAAACTTACTATTTTTTGGACCACTTTAAAAATAATTTGGGACACATATTGAGGAACTCTGCTTTACTTTTTATGAAACCTATCAGGTAACCCAGACATGTGCTGTTTACTTATATTCTTAAGTTATTATTAATTAACGAAAATATTATTCTCTGTACTTAGCCATATTCCATTTGCTAATAAATTACATCAGTTACATGATATTTGGCATTTTGTACAGAAATATGTAAATCTTGGATAATTTGAAGTTGCATTTATTTCATCTCTTGAATTTCGAACTAACAAGGATTTCCTGTATTTTGTTAATTTTATGGATATGTTACTCTGCTAATGTTTAAAGCATAGAATAAGTAATTATATCAATCCAATTATCTAATGACTTAAAAAAATTACTGCTACTTTTCCTCTAGAAATTGTAAGAAACTGTGTTAAATAAATCCTGTAATATTATTATTTATATAATTTCTTAGTCTGTTTCTTGGCCAATTTTTTTAATACAAAAATCTAAATGTGTTTTTACTAAAATCAGTCCTTACATTATAAATTATATTTGCTTATTAATCATAAATCTTATTTTTCTCTTTTGTTAAGCTGACGAAACAGAAATATCTTTTGATCCGGATGACATAATATCTCAGATCGAACAAATTGACGAAGGTTGGTGGCAAGGAATGGCTCCAGACGGCTCATACGGTTTATTTCCTGCTAATTATGTTGAACTTCTTGACTGAAGACAAAGTAATCTGTAATACTTAATGCACTGTTAATTATTATTCTGTGCAGTAGTTTGCTTGTATTTGTTAAAATAAGAGTTATAAAAGTATTGATATTGAAGAGAAAATTGTTAAAAGATTAGATATTGTTAAGAATGTTTAAGGTTGACTGGTAAAGAAGTTAAATCAGCAGATTTTCCTTTCTTTGCTATTGATACAAAATTTCTCATTTTAAATATTTTCATAGCTCATTAAGAAGTAAAAACAGTTTATTCGTGTTTTATAATTTTCTTTTAGCAATAACAATATTCACTCTTGCAATGTTGTGAATATATAAACCTATATAAAAATTTATTTGAAAAACAAAAATATTTATCATGTATAAAATTTAAAATTTTAACATCTAATTTTGAGAATTATATAACATTTTAAATCAAAAATATCAAATCATATACAATAAACTATAAATTTATAAACATTCAAATGTATTTCTAATTATTATAGGTAAGCCATCATTAATGGTATCAATGAGTTGAATTTGAATATACCTTATAATTGAAGAAATTGGTGCTATATTTTAATTTTGTTTTTAATTTAATAAAAGAAAACGTTTAAATTATTGCTAAATTATCTTCAATGATAAAGTGAATGTGCATACTATACGTGTTGAAATCATTTTCTAATGCAAATACATATTTTTGCAAATATTGCTTCTGTTTTGTACTGTACTGTACTGTAAATAATAATAAAAATAGGATTTATTTTTCATGCGACGTCCTAAAAGGGAAGGCAATTTTTGTTGTCGAAGACCTCTCCCGGTGAAGGATAATTTTGCATTGCTGTCATTAATGATGACCGAAATGTTATAAAGTATAGATAATTAGTTTAAATTGATAAATAAATTTTGGAAATTATAATGCATCGTAAAGAAAAATATCAAAAACAAGACTTTTTCAAAATGTTTGTGAATTGTGCCTATTTGTAAATTATTTAAATTTGTTGTCTTGTCTTTTTTTTGTTAGAGTTTAAAATTCTTATATATTATTAGTTATAATTTTAACATTCCATTTGCTGTTCTGTTGTTGTTTCTGTCTTTCAGCTGAAATTTTTGTTTGCTTCAGCTTTATATTAATAATTTACAATGCTGTCTAGACAAGATTTTTTTTGTGCATATAGTTTTTAATTAACCTTTTGCATTATTTAAAAAAGAAATTACAAACAAAACTGTCTCAGAATTGTTATTCGTTTCGAAGGTTTAAATTTAAGAATGCCGCTGTGGAGTCAATTCAATGTATAATTAACTTACTAATGACAAAAGTATATTTGCTAGACTCATACAAATGAATACTGTATTACAAATTAACTCACTCAAAACATCAAATTACTTAATTTACAATATATATACTTAATATTGCAAACTTTAATATTTAGTCTGTATATCAAATTTTTATAGTATATCAAATTTTTTTCATCAATGTAGTTCATTGTTAAAAGGTTTTATACAGTTTTTCATCATTTTCTACAAAATTGTGTTTTTTACATTGTAAAAAGTAAAAATATATATACATATACATATAAAAAGTCAGAATATATAATAATTTTTGTTACTTTTTTCTATATAGTATGAAATCATGTATCTTGGTAAAGTAGTAATTAGTATGATGATTGTAAGCAAATAACATACAGTTGAAACAAATTTTTTTCACATATATATAATTTTGAAGCCCTCAGGATTGTTGTTGCTTAATTTGAAGATTATAAGTAATGAATTGAGAATTTTCAGTGTTTTTATGAAAACAAGTTTAAGATTTTAATTATGGCTGTTAGCTCACTACCTCTGATATTTACTTTATTATATTACAATTGATAACTGAATAAAGTGTACTTAAACTGTTTTTGCTTAGGAGTTTAAATTGCAATAACTTTGTTAAAGTGTGTGCTTCCTAATTTTTTTTATAATCTTAATTGCAATAATACAAACTTATATTTATTTTTTCTAAGCTTCCTTTCCTTGCCAGGAGACAAATATCAATGTTTGTGAAATTTGGTATGGAAGAATTGTATAATGTCTAGTCGTATATATTTGTTTACACATATGTGTAACTGAAAATGACAAATTTATAATTAAAGTTTGACATGTATAAAGTTAGTGTTTATTTTTTATATTATATGAAATCTTCACATAACATATAAGGCTTGACATATTGAAAATTAAAAGTAAACAAACTACTCAAGGAGCCAAATATTTTTAAGAAAGCAAGAACCATGATTAAAAATATTTGAGTTATTCTGGCCATCTTCAGCTCAAATATATATCATATAGAATAAAAGTATATTTATTTTATAATTTATTCCATTTTAAAATATAATGCTTAAAATATACTTTTTATAACTTCCAAACTAATAAATTTACAAATTTTTACTTTTCTGGCTTTGTTATATATAACAGAGGGAGGAAAATATGACGATCAGTCAAAAAAGACCCCCAGATTTTTAGATTTTTGGACTCTGGAATCTTGAAGTGTCAAGAAATGCAAAAAAGTTGTCTGTGTGTGTGGGGGAACATGATTTCATTCACCCTCTTTGAGACTTAATAACTGCTGTGCTTTTTGTTGAAAATTTCTAAAATTTTTCAGGAAGGTTTGTGTATTAGGAAGATTAATGCTGTTAAATTTTAGTGATTTAAGGTTGAGGGAGTTAAAGGGAAAGTGTTATATCTTGAATAGGATTGACTTAATAACAAGTAAAACTGTCATTAATATTTACAATTTTTTTTATAAAACTCATTCCTATCCTCTAAGTTAAGATTTTTGCCATTTTATAGTAATAAAAAAATCTTTTTATATTTTTAAATAAAATATCATAACACATGGTGACACATGCAGTTTTAACTCATTGCTGGATTTTTCAAAATTTAAGTTGCAAAGAGAGATCAATCTATAGTTACATATAACATTGTAATGTTTAGTTGTATCATGAGTATTTATATTAACATGCTTAGATTTTTTCCTTCCCTCTCCATTCTGTGGGCACTTTACCCAAGTTCATTATGGGGGTGACCAGTTTCTGAATAGAGGCAGCTGGTGGTAAAGAATAGAATCTAACATATCCAGGAAAACTACAAAAAATTTCTGACATTTCTAACCAAATCCTCTGAGCAACATGCTGGCACATTTACTGGCTGCCATCTGCTTATGATCAAAATGTACTATACAATTGTTACAAATCATTTCCTACTTAAAATAGGTGTATTTCATAAGTGAGTGGGCCTTAATATGCTAAACTTAAACAGATGAGGTTCCAATTCCCAGAAGCATGGAAGAAATGTTCTCTAACTCTTCATTATTGTTTCTGTAAATGGATACAACATAAAAACTGCAACTGTTCACTAGTTTAATAAGATGAATATCTGTTTTTTATCACTATTCTCAATTGTTTTAATATAATTGTATATGAAAAGCAGTGCCAGTTTTACCATTGGGCATTATAGGCAATTGCCTAGGTGCACTTGCCTGTTGCTATAAAAAATAAACAAGGAATAACCAAATAATTTTTCCTTCTTCCTAACAATCATCTATAATGAGTTACTATCACTATTTGTTCTTGTTTTTTACTTTTTCTATCCTATGGGTACTAAGAGAGCCTATTTTCAGGCCTATTGTGGGTTTGGTCAGATGGTAAAGACAAGGCACAACATATCCAGAACAGTTGCCCCAAAAAATTCCCTAGGTTTTTCAACAATCCTGATTTAATCCCAATCCCTTTTTTGTTTGTAATTCATCAAGATGACTAGATTATTTTCACGTATTTAATACTTGTCCAAATTAAAACATTAGAAGAGTTAAAAGACATTTGAGTGTTTCAAAGAGCTGTTTGAATTATTTAGAAATGTTCTGTGAGCTAATTAACTATAATGGTTGTGATGGGAAGTTTTATAAAGAACTTGTTGGAATCAGTAGAACTGAAAGAGTGAAGTTTATGGTAAGATTAATCAAATTTAAATGTATAAATGGCTTAATAAAATCCTAATATTTCTGGATTCTTAAAACCAATTTTGAAGTAGTGATAGCTAGTCTCCATAATTCAATACTTTGGTCCATTAATAACAAAGACTGCGTAAAAAGACTCACTTGATCAAATCTTGAAATAATATTTCATATAAGCTAATGGTTATCATTAGACTTAAATGAATGTAAGAAAATCTAGAGTATAGCTAAAATCTGAAAGCAATTTTGTTTACAAAATGGTAGGCAAATAATGTCTAAATAGTTTATAGAATCTTTGCTCGTGTGATACAAATTTAACCTATTGTAATTCTCTCTGAGTTACCATTAATGTAATCTGTAAAATCCTTAATAAAGTTATAGCCCTTCCAAATAATAAAGAGGATGTCAGCATATCTTACTAATATGAAGCTTTCTTTATACTTGATTATAACTAGAGTTGGAAAATTGTGGAAATCAAACTGCTTTTGAAACATTGTCATTGATGAATGTTATTTATTTAAAAATTTTTTTTTCTTTTCTATATTATTGAATTCGTTATGCCAAAATAATGACAAAAAACGTTTTTATAAAAAATTACTTGGCTTTCTAAACTAAGTAGTCTGTTTTTTAATTTTAATTATTGTTACACAACATTGTATATATATATATATAAAAATATTTACTGTACATATTTTATTGAAATGTAATTTTATAATAAGTCTATTGGAATGTGTGCTATTCCAGACATTTCCCATGCCGACAGTGATAATCGGCGGGCCTGATCCGATATTGTTGTCATGGGTACTTGAGCCAGATGCATTGAATATAATTCGTAACAATTAATGTTCTTTGGAGACATATTTGGAAAAAAGTTTTTAATCAGCAACCTGTTAAAATAAAACATATTTTAATAAAATTCAAGTTATTAATCATTTAATAGAATCTTTCAAACATTAATATTCAGTAATTTTGTACTTCTTTCTATATTCACAGAAATGGAACTTGTTCAATAAATTCATCAATTAAACGTTAGAATAAATGTTTATATTTTTAAATAGATATCAAACAATATTTCTTTTAAAAAAAACACCAAGCCAAAACTAAAAAATTGAAATTTTGGACATCAATAAACAAGATACTTTGATGATTCAATTACCAAAAATATTTCATTGATATCTATTGAACAGTGATTATAAAACCAAACCCACTGACTGATAAAGTGATTTCATTAAATAATTTCTATCTATTTTGTTTAAACGTATATTTATACATTGTTTGTTTGTGTGTATATTAATCAGCTAATGTAACATCAACAACAGAAAGTAAGTTTCTGGAATGTTATATCTTGACATTAAAATATTCACAGATATTCTTAATGTTAAAGAGATATATTTTCTTTAATTATTTATTTCTCATATCCTTTATATTATATATGATATGATATATTTTCTGTCATTGTAGTCATTCAGCATTCAGAGACTGTAACTCCAGCAAAGAGTCTGAACAACTTTTTAGAATAAACTATGTATGGTAGATACTAAACAATGTGTAAGGTTGCTAAGAGAGAGTCTCAGTTCAGCTTTCTATCAGATCCCTTTTTTTATAAAAAATTATTTCTATAGTTTATAAATCTTCAGATAGCAAAATTCAGGTTCATTTAAAATTTTCAGAATTATGAAAATATAGAGATATTTGTAAGGATTATGATAATTTATTACTTTTTATTAGATCTTAGCCAGGTAATTTGTACCCAGCTGCTTACTCTTCAACAGACCTGACAATGTATAAATTGTTAAGCATCTATTGCTGCCAATTCTGCATCAATTTTTTATAATACTTAAACATTTAATCCTTATGTGAAATGTTACTTCTGAAAAAATATAAGTTAAATATGCTCTTTCAAAAACTTTTAACTTTTAACTAAGTTGTTATTACTGTTCATCAGAAGCTTGTTTTCATGTTTGGAAAAGTTTATGTGAATCTTGTAATGCCATAACATTGTAAATGCCAAAAAAATTTTTCAGGTGAGGTTAAAAAAAAAATCTTTTTCTAGTGAATGAATTCATTTCAATTTTACAATAAAATGGTAAAAAACTCACTACATTACAAATTCTTTGGAATATTGAAATAATGTAAATAAAAGTTGTAATGGCATTGCACACACGTATTTTTACTGAAGTAAAACTAGTTTTAACACTTGTCCATTGAATGCTGTAAAATGCAAGTTGTAAATATTTAATAATTATTAATTTATTCTATGCCCTAAAAATATTATTGTTGAATTAATATAAAAATAACTATTTTTTTTATATTAATGAAGTTAACGAAAAAAGTTTGTCAATCTTTAAATAGGTTTGTTTTTCAGATATTGATGTTTCCAATATTTTTACTTAATACTAATAAGACAAATATACAAGCCACATATAAATTAAATTATAACACTTTATAATAATCTACAGGTTTTTAAATCATGAAAGTTAAGATAATGAAAGATTCATCTAAATTTTGAAAAATAAAAGACTTTTTTAATAAGGAAAGAAATTTTTCTTTCAAAAATTTTCCTTATTACAAACAAGAATTATCTTTTATACTATTTAGAAATTTTATGTAAATATATTTTATATGTTAAATATATAAAAAAACATTAAAAGTATAAAGTAAATTATTATTTTTTAATTATGAAATTAAAATTTAAAAATAATGGCATACTCATAAAAATCTCCACATAAAATTCCAGGAAGTAATTGATATTTGCTTTTAGTTTCTGCTGGTTTTAAGATTTTTCCCTAGATAAAATTCCAATAAAAAAAATGTAGTAGATGAATTTTATGTAAGTCATAAATATCATTATGAATATTGAATAACGAATATTGTTAAATTTTTAATGTATAAAAGTTATAAATTTATAATAAAAGTCAAGAATAGCACACAATATTGATAATTATCATGACAGATTATTCCAAATAAACATTATAAATGGCAAAAGTTCAATTTTTCCTTAAATAAAATTTAATTCTTTTTTTTTAAATAAAATATTAAATCGAAATATTGATATTTTAAAGTGTTTTTAATAAATTTATTTATATCACACATGAAATATCCATATAAAAACATAACATTTATTTTTTAAAATAATTAGCAAATAGTTGATTAAAACAAAAATATTTTTTAAAACTTTCATTATGATTAGAATGACTTTGAGAAGATTTTGCATGTGAATAGGATAAGCTATAAAATATTTAACAGACTTTTTAATATTTTGACTCTTTCTGCATTGTGGGCACTAAGAGGGCCTTTTTTCCCTATACCTATAGTGTGGGCCTGGCTGAACTCACAGTTGGGTTCACAATAGGGGTGGTTCCTCACCAGCTGGCCACAATAGAGGTGGTCAGTAATGAGACCCAACACACAGGATGGACAGTCCATAAAAAATTCCTGGGATGTTGCTCACCTGGATTCAGTCCAGGTCTCAGAGTGACACGTTAGCCACTTGGCCATCAATCTTTAACAGGTATTTTATTTGACTTAAGCATCAGATGGAAATCATTAAAATCTGTCACTACATTATTTTTTGAATAGTCGTAAAATAACAGTTTTAAATCATTAAGCTAAGTATATATGAAAATATTTTTATTATTTCTAAACAATTTCTGACAAAATGAAACAAACAACAGATAAATAATAATTATTTCAATCTTTTCATATGTCACATGTTTTATGCATTGCAATATACTGTATTTAATTAGAAAATATTAAGGAAGCTTAAACAGAATCAAACTTCTTTAAGAATGATATATCTTAATCACACATTATTAATACGAAGTTATATTATATTAAATTACTTACATTTGCATCTTCAAACCATAAAAAATAAGAAAAACAATAATTTTCCTCTCTCCACATTGCTGATAGATGATTTGATTCAAGATATTCATAACTAAAATCAACCATTTTCCAGATCTGAAACAATTTATATTTTAATCATGCAATAATTTGAACATTTATTAAATTCAAAATTTCTCAAGTGCCTTTGCATATTTTTTATTGGAAATAAATATTCTTTAGTTTATTGTTATCTCAAATAGCACAGTTGTTAATTTAAACTGAATATTGCATGATTTTATGGTTGCAATAAAACTTTTTACCATAAAGTAAGAGAATTTTATAAAAAACAATAATTTTTTTTATTTTTCAAGTTTTTATTTATTATTTTTTTACCTAATATCTAATTTTGCCTAATTTATTGACTATGAAATTTCTTTTATTATATCTTATGTAAGATTAATATTTAATTTGAATATTTATTATAAATAAATAATTCAATTATTTTCATTTTATTGTAATACAATGATAAATTTTATTAATTCAATATCAGTTAATTCAAAATAAATAAAATTTCTCAGTTAGGAGTATATGATTTTAATGATTAAATCAAGCTTGTCAAAGCCTGATTAAAATAGAGCATAGAGTTATGTATAATGGAATGTACAGTACCTTGGCCAACTGCTCATACAATAGTAAAAGAAATGTACCTTTCCTTCTGTAAGAATTGTGACCCTCTACTACCCTAAGAGCAGTTGGCAAGGTACAGTACATTCCATCACACACAAGTTTATGCTTTACTTTAAAAAGGAACCCAATTAAGTCATTTATCTAAACAAAAAATGATATTTTTACTGTCATATTTTTATATTAATTAAAATTGAATAAATTTATCACTAGACATTGGTAGAATTATCTGACATTAAATTTAATAAGAATTTATAGCTGATGTATCAACTGTAATGAATAATTCAGTGTCCAAAATAAGAAACATAGCATGTAATTTAAAGAAAATCTGTTAGCTTTATAAATTAATATATTCAAAAACAATTAATTCATTAATATAAATTTGGTATACTTTTTAAATATAACAAAGGAATTTTATAGGAAGCACTTATTCTACTTCATACGTAATTCATTCAACTATATTAATTCATTATAAAGAAAAGCAAGTAATCTTTTTAGAAAACAAAAATATTTCTTAATCTATATCTTTAAATATGATTTAAATTCATTCTGGTTTATAATTCATTACAATAATAATATAATTATTACGATAAATTTCATTTCATAATATATTATATATTACAGCTTATATTTTATTTTATAAAAACTTTTAAAATTTTAAATTATTACCAATCTTTTTGTTATATTAGTCATATTATTTCCTTCTGTATAATGCTCACTTATACGAACTGATGGAGTAACTATATAATTTCTTGTTCTGTCAACATATATAAAATGAATTAATCCAGGAAAGTCTTGAATATATCTAACCCATTGTCAAGATATTTTCTGATAATTACTATTTTATGACTTTAACTTTAGTATTTTTAAAGTTCTACAAAAATTTATACTTTGTTATTTTTTTTTTAAATTCTTTAGCTAAAGAGGATCAAAAGATAGGTAGAAATGCATAATCATATAAAGAATTAAATAAAGTTTACAAGTCTTTAAGATTGATTTATATGTTTAATTTTTCTAATTATTCCTTTAACTGATTAACAAGTTTTACTTTGAAAACAGTTAATACTATAAACAGTAACAAGTGTTTTCAGATATTAAGTATTTTTGATTGTGCTGTAGTGCTACAGCACTAATTGTATTGTAAACAAATGTAATGTCTTGTTTCGGTTTATCTCGTATCAGATTATGGATCCGAGTATGTAAAATTTTCGTTCATGTCGGAAATCACCTTTTTGTGGTGTGTGCTCACTGATTGGGTGAGGGTTATAAACGTAGTAATGACGTAGTATGTATCGGGGAGACGGTATAAAAGGGGTGGTTTGCCTGAAGAGCGGANGGTCGTTTCGCTGGATCATCTTTGCTACGAGAAAAGGAGAAAGAATGAACTGCTGAGGAGGCTAACTAAAATCCAACTCCATCCACGTGGACATTGTGAGGTTCGACTGAATAGAGGTTCCTAAAGGAAGAGAACATCAACACGAACAATTGTAAGGTGATATTTCTTGTGTTATGTCGGGGATAAAGCAAACCCTCGTGGTATGTAATTAGAACAGATCTTGTATATGTTTCGCGGTTGGAATTGTTCGGTTCAATTCGGCTAGAGTATTTAACCTGAACTGTAAGAGACCGTGATAGTGTAATCGTCACAGAATAAACACGCTTGTTTTCTTTGTTTAACAATTTTGTCATTGTGAAGTCCTTATTCTCCGTTGTCATACCCAACCCTAATACCTAGTATACCCAGGTATACGGGGGTAGTACAGTGCTATAAATTTCACAAAATTGTTTTATAAATTAATCAACTGGTAAGAATCCATGTATGAGTAAATATGATAAATCATATAAATCTTATTTAAATTGATAAAAGGATACGAAGTCATGGATATATTTTGTTGTGCTTTTACAACTAAATAATCAATATAATCCATCAATTTGCTTGAAGATATTTCTTGAACTTGGAGTAAGGCACAAATAATTGCATTATCTGGTTTTATTTGATGCAATATTTCTGGTTCAAACACAATTAATTCAAACATTGTTTGTATATCTTCACAGATAGCAGTAATAGCAGTTTCTAATCTAAACAAAAGATATTTGATTTTAAAGAATAAAATTTTCATATTAAGAAACTTTCAAAATATCAATATTTTAACTTAAATCATTACTAAATGATCTATAAAATTTATTATAATTGTAAATTATCAAAATTTTACAATTACCTAGCTGGCATCAATAATTCATTACTATTGTGAAGAAATTCCAGGAAGTTATTTCTTTTTAATTGTTCCCACTTACTCATAAGATTTTTTACTCTGCGTTCAAGCAACTGTTCTAGCTGAAAATAAATAATTATTTTATAATTTGTGAAAATCAATTTAAATTCAATTTCATAAAAAAAATCTCACTTTAATTTTTTTAGAATTTTCAAAAAATTTCTTCATGTTAATTTCTAATGTATTTGCTATATTTTCACTTGTTTTTTCTATAGGTGATACAATAATATTATGTAAAATATCCAAAACATTTACCAGTGATGAGGAAATTCCAACTTTAACACTAACCTATAAAATGTAAAACAATAAAATTATTCATTTTATTTTTAGTAACCTTTGTTTTTGTACTGGTTAACAACATAAATAATTAAAAATAAACTGAAATACAATATTTTTGAATTTAAATAATATTTTGGAAATCTAAGAAGCTATCACAAAAGATTGGATAGCTTCTTACACATTTCCAGGTCATTTTTTTAAAATCACATTTCTGTACATTTTAATACAAGTGTTTTGTAGTAACGTGAGTGATAACTGATAACCGGATGACCAAGGCAGTTAAGGCATCAGCCTACCAGTCTGGGGACCCAAGTGAGAAACTCCAGGAATTTTTCATGAATAGTCTGTCCCAGATATATAGAGTCCTATCTCTCAGTGCTCAGCTACCCATATTGTGGGGAGCTGATGACATGAAATAAAGGTTCTCTCAGTGCCCAGAGGGCATAAAAAAGTAAAAACAGAAAAAAAATGGATTTAATGGATAAAAAATTCCTGACTTAGAAGAACCTAAATTTAGAACCTTTTTTTTTTTAATCTGTTAATAGAATATTTTAAAAGGTTGGATCAATGAGTCAATGAATGTAAATTACTCAATGTTACAATAATATTTCATTCATATTTATACTTTATAACAACATTTTAATACATCCTGTAAGTATATTTTTAAAATATGATCAACTTAATCTTTCAGCAATAGCAGACACTTGTTTCCCAATTAGTCCATTAAATCAAGGACCAATTGTATTTATATATTATTTTTAACTTTTTTCTTTTTCATTTGATTCAATTCTTACACTTTTGTTATACACATATTGAATTTCATTAAAATCATATTCAGTTTTTCTTAAATCTTAACTGAAAATTCAATCTTTTGATATGACTGTTATTTCTAATATAAATGCATAATTAAATCCTTTAAATTTTTGTTAATTCAGAAATGTTTAGAATATATTACTTTATGAATTGAAAACTAATCT